AGCATGTTCCCGAACTGAAGTACCTTGGACCATCTTAATGGTCATCAAATTTGTCATAGCATTTTGGCGTGCGCTCTTACCAATTTGCCCAAACATTTCCTTAAGGTTAAGCATGATGTCTGCAGAAGTGAGATATTGAAGATGTTGACTTTGGAGTACATTCGAGAGTGAAGCAAGAATGTAGCACTTAGTCATCTCATCTGCTTTATTCCATTTCTTAAATACTTCATGCTCCTCAGGAGGATCCTCAGGCAAAGGTGGAAAAGGTCTAGGAGTAGTAAGCACATAATTCAACCCCTCATATGTGAGTACAATATCTAGTTGCCTTTTCCAATCGATATAATTAGGTCCAGTTAATCGATTTTCTTTTAGTATGTTTGCAAGTGGACTGAATGGACTAGTCATGATAAATCTGAAAATAAAAGCATTCATACAATAAATAAAGTGAATAATAATAATCATGCAAGTATAAAATAATTAATTAATTGTGGGTCCCTTAACCACATTGCATGAAAAATCGGACAATCAATATGCCAATAACTTATCCGGTTGGCGGAATTCATTATTGCTTATTGACGAGAATAACTCATTATTTCCATATCTCTTTAGACAATGCCTTATCTAAATATGAAATAATTCCCGATTAGATTTAGCCTTTCTAAAATCACCTAGTATAGACCACTCCGTTGGGGAGCTAATACTATTGATTTTAGATTGAGTGTATAACATAATTAATACTCCAACGGAAAAACAAATATTAAATATATTGCCATTAATAGCTTAGACTCTTTAAATCATGCGTAGAGCCTTATTTTTAAAGATCTAACTATAATGGTTATTTAATAAATATATTTTCGTGAGACAACCATTCTTGTAATCTAGACTCTTTAAATCATGCGTGGAGCCTTATTTTTAAAGATCTAATCATAATGGTTATAATTACGAAGGCCATGGGGTAATGTATATAAAATCCCCGCTCCCACTCAATTTTTAATAATATAAAACTAGGGTTTTCAATTCATGATTTAATGCATGCAAAACGCCTTGATTTTAATCCAATTAAATTTAGAAAATATATGGATTTTAAATGATTCACTAATCTTTAATTTGAGGCAAAAAATAATTTACAAAAATAATTTTTCTGTTTCCCAATAAATGCTCTCAAATTAATTAGCAATCTAATCCAATTTATCTTCATAATTTAATTAATATAAATCAAGCCATTTAATTAAAAATCATGGATCCAATGCATAAACAATTATAATAAGCATTAAATTATTCCATGCATCAAATAATAGACAGAAGCAATATAAATGGCCAATGGATTCAGCTTTTAACATTTAAAAACTATTTTTGTTGTACGAGCGTCCTTCAACTGTCTGTAAACACTCATAGGAAGCTTGTACGCGTCAGGAGAAGCAAAACACCGCTTGGAACAAGCCCGGAGGATCCCACACGCGCTGGTACGCGCCTAGGGCAAGCTGCACACGCCCCCACGCGCCGGCACGCGCTTGGGGCGCGTGGAATGCACCCTCACGCGCTCCCACGCGCCTCCACACGCCTTCCCGCGCGTGGAGAGTACCAACTCCTTTGCTAGCGCGTGAGATCCACGCGCCAGCTTGTCATCGACCAGCCCACTCCTGGCGCGTGTGGAACACGCGCCAGGCTCACCTAGCCGTTACCACACCTGATCCGGGCCACCTACGACGCCTCTTCTCGCCGCTGGCGAAGCTCCGGCCACCGGAAAAACGCCGAAAAATTCCAAAAAAATCCGTAAAAATCCCAGAAAATTAAATTAAGCCTCAAAAAATTCCCGAAAAATTCGAAAAAATTTCAGAAAATTACTGAAGCATAATTTAACCCTTTCGGACCCTCTTGAAGCTTCATAGCATCCTTTGATGAATATTACATGGCTTTAATAAATACTTACAATTTGAAAGACAATGGAAAAAATAAAATTACATCATTGAATTTTCAAACGGCTAAAACAAAGCCTTAATTACATTCATCCAAAAATAAAATTACATTCTATATACCTATAAGCTTCATCCATGGCCCAAACACATATCATCATCCATTCACAATTATACATACATCATCATGTATAATAAATCATACATCAACATATATCAATAATTTTATATATGTATATATAATTTGGATCCATGAATATGATTTTTATAAACACATGTTCTCTAGTAATGAATCAAACTATGTGCTCTGATACCACTGTTAGGAAACGTGCAAGTTTTTAAAACTTTTTGATAGATTTGCAATCATAGATCTTGATTCATTACATGGAGACAAGTTTTATGCAAAGATAAATAAAAGATGATGCATAATTCAATAAACAGATTGAATACTTACATCAAAGGTCTGAGTAAACTTTTTGAACTTTCCTCTAAAGTGAATGTTCTCACTTATTGTAGATCCCTTTAGCAAGATCCTTTCTCCTTCTTTTTGATTATTATCTTCCCTTTAGGAATCACCAATATGCCTTGATGAATGACCTTGGAATCTAGGCTGGTGGTAGCCTCCTTTAGAAGAAAAACAAAACCCTAAAATCTAGAGAGAGAAAGTGTATTCCTTTTTCTTGTTCTCCAAGTCACACCTAAAATATACATGAACTCATGTATATATAGGCAAAATAAAAATAAGAATAAGGAAACAATAAATCATTCTCCATCTCTAATTCAACTTTCTCAATCCTAACATGACTCCAATATCAACTTAGGCTATTGGTGAGAATCCTTTTGGGCTTACTATTTTCTTGGCTCTTATAAATTAATAATTGGTCCGGTCCATTAAACCATGGACCCAATTCAATTAATTCATAAATTAATTTCTACTCCACTAAAAGAAATTAATTGCACTCCAATTAAATAGTAAATAACCTCTAAGTCAATGTTGCACTTTGACCCCTCTATGCTTAATTATTTATCGGATAATTAAAGCCATCAATCCAACAACATAATTAATATAATTATTTTGTTACCTTTGATTATTTCCGGCTCGATCACAATAAAATATTTATTTGACAAAAAATAATAATAATTTATTAAATAAATATAAATATAAAACATTTGTCTAAAATATACGAAGGCCTTCGAATTTAATTTGTGATCAACCATAATCAAAACAAAATAAATACAAATAGCACTGATGCAAATATTGAGAATATAGACCTCTAATTATTAATTACATAATTACCCAAAGTGTCCATCTAAGGATCCCGAGGTATCCGCCGAACAAATCAAAGTAATTATTAATTAATAAAAGAGTCTATACTTCTCTCATGCTTGAGAGTCAAAAGCCATGACTGTGATAAAGAGCAATTGCATACGACAGCTCTCGCAATATATTTCAATCTATCGTGGATTCGGTTTAAGTCTTAACTAATTAAATGTCCATCCATAATTACCGACTTTAAACCATTTATGATTACTAATTTATATTATAGTATTAATTGCCATTACATACATATATAAATATATTTTGTAATCAAGCGGACACCATCAATTCCATAAAGAATCGAAAAATAATACATTCCATTCACCAATTGTATAATGCTTTAATAATAATATCCAGACAAGAAACCATGACTTTTACAATCCAAAATTAGAATTTGCTATGCTAGGGCACACATATCCTAACATGCCAAATAAGAAATGATAGTATAGTTCTTCAATCCTATCTCACTCTTCTACTTGCACATCCATTGAGAACTTCCCAGCACCTCACCCAAGCAATTTTGGGATAACCCAATATATCCCAACAAGAGAGAACAAAATACACCAAAGATTACTAGCCACCACACGGTGAATCAATAGATGGTCAAGAGTTTCCTCTCCTTCCACTAGAACAACATAGATTATTGGTTCACAAGATCATCTCCAAATCTGACATGTTTGAAGATACTAATCCCAATTCCTTTCCAAGTAGACTTTGATGCCTGCTTAAAAACTATACAGTGATGCCATCCAAATCCTCCACACTCCATTGGCCTTTCATCTCAATCAACATTCTGACTCCACATATAGAAACCTCACAATAACAACAACATCCTAAATAACTCATCTAATGTCACGAACCACCCCGCCTTGCACCATGTAGATATCGTCCACTTTGACAAACTCTTATCAGTGCTCACGGTTTTGCTCAAAATATGTTTACATGGTTAAGGGTTGTCCACCCCCTCAACTCCCCGCGTGGACACTGTGGGACGTCACAATCACCCTCTCTTGCTCGCTAGCCTGGGCTTGTGCACGCCCCATTTTTGGTTGGGGATTGGATCTAATACCATTCGTCACAACTCGTCTCGCACTGTGTAAATATTGTCCACTTTGCAATCTCTCCAGTCGGTGCTTATGAATTTGCTCAAAACGCGTCTATATGGTTAACAGTTGTCCACGCATATAAATGCCAGGAACTTCTCCCCCCAAACGATGTGGGAAGTCACATCTAACGTCTCTAATTCCGATTCATGTACTGCATTAATAAATCAGAGCTCCTACACTTGTAATAAAACCAATGCTCAATCACTTCCAGACGACCACCATCACGATTGCACAGTAAAAAGCCTAACACGCCTTGCAAACACAAACACTAACATCGGGACCCAACACCTTCAGCACCACTAACAACGGTTCACCATTCATAATAAGAATAAATAAATGCCACCATTTTCTTTAAAGCAACTGTTAGAACCTGAGTCATACAATCCTTCTCAACAAGTGTCGCTCTCACGCTCCACACATGCTTTGGCTCAAATTCTCACTATTTATGACTTAATTCTGCCGCTCTCACGCTCTCGTTCTTGAATTCGTTCTCACTCCCGCTTTGTGTGACTTAGGTTAGAACATTTATATGTAGATATATATTTCTGCTGGGGTCAGATTGTAATTATATATAGAGTTTGTGGCCATTATGCAAATAAGCCTTTCTTGTATTTGTATATATACCCTTTTATGTTTAGGGTTGAAAGATAAGATAAACAGAGGGTTGCGTCTCTCATTCTGTTCTCTCTCTTATTGCACTGTAACTTTTTCACATGGTATCAGAGCATAGATCTGGCCATTGTAATTGCCACCGAAGTGCTATGGTCTGTACTAGATTTGGAAGAACCCTGTGTTAACTTGTGAGCCTGAGTTGCTTGAAGAGGTGCAAAGATTTTTCTTTTCTTTTTTTTCCTTCCTCTGTTGTGTGCTGTCATTGACATTTTTCTTCTTTCCCGATCGTGATAGCTCAGATCGCAGTGCGTCAATGAGCTTGGGTTGCGATTCAAAGGTTGTCGGCTGGTTGTGGAGCACAGGGGATCATCGGCTGGTATCGTGATTGCTGACTTCATCGGTTCTTGGTTGTATTCCTCATCGACGACCATCTCTGGGCTATCGGCGAGCAGTTTGCAGCGGTCATCGTCGGTAACGGGAGTTGGGTCTTGCCGTGTTCTATTGTGCGCTATTGTGCGGCTGGTTTTTGATTGAAGTCGCCGAGATCTCTGTGCTGTCCTGCAAAGGTGATCGTGAAGAAGACAAAGGGGTTTGGCTACAAGCTTTATTATAACCCAATTTTTCATTAACCAGGTTCAGGATAAAATAATTTATGACCAAATTCGAGACCCGAATTTGGACCTGATTTGCTTTGGGATCCGACCCAGTTCTGTTCTATTCTGGCCTTCTCTATTGCAGCAGTTTTTTTTTTCTTCTTTGGTTCTTCTCGGGACAGATTTGGAAATCAGTGTGACTTCATCTTGGGACAAATTAGTTTTTTTCAGTTTCCACATTCATTTCGTTTGTTTCAGCAGTTGCGTCTGTTTTTCGTGGAATTAAATCCATGTCAGAAACTTCAACTGTTGCTTCAAATTCTACTGGAATTAAGTCTCCAGCAACACATTTTGATCATGTCGGGCTGCAAATTACAACTATAAAATTACGTAATTCCAATTATTTACTATGGGCTCAAGTAGTGTAAATCTCTTTAGGCACCCGATGAAAGCTGAAGTTTATTACACATGACCCCCCATCTAAAATTGCAACAACATATGATGATTAGGAAACTGATAACTATATGGTTATGTCCTGGTTGTGGAACATGGAACCTTCCATTGCATCCACATTTATGTTTGTAAACACTGCAAAGGGAATATGGGATGCAATTAAAGAAACCTACTCTATGGACACAAATGTTTCTCGCATATATTCACTGTATGAGAAGATGTTCCATTCTCGTAAATCTGGTTAAGGCATTGGTGATTATTACAGTGCTTTCAAAAGCTTGTTATATGAGTTGAATCAGTACCATCCCTTGACTACTGATGTTGATGTTCTCAAGCAACAACATGAGGAATTTTATGTTTATATTTTTCTTGCTGGTTTAGACCCTAACCTTCAGAATATTTGGGATCAAATCATCTTTGGGTAACATTTATGCCCAATTACTTCGGGTTTTAGAAAATCACATGGAATGTCCACTGTGAAAGAAAATTCAGCTATGGTGATTCCTTCTATCTCTCCACAGTTCTCTAGAGGTCGTGATACTCCTAGTAGCAACCAAGGGTCTAGAGGAAATTTGAGTGGTTCTCATAGCGGTGGTGGCCGTGATAGAGGTCGCAGTCGCCGTGGTCGTGGACGTACTAATAATTGCTATTGCAGTCACTATCAAGGTACTAACCATTCTATTGAGCACTGTTAGGCTCTTTATGGGAACCAGCATGGGCAAATCAAGTAGTGTCTTCCCCTGACATTGCTGGGTCTCATCCCTCTCTTGACCACAACCACCCACCTTCTCAGACTTCTGTATTGCCATCACCTACATCTACTAGTGACATCGTGACACTATCACGTGCTGAGTTTAGTGCCTTGGTCAACTAGGCACATCATAGCTCTATTGATGTGGTTAAGTTTGCGCAACTAGGTAATATTACATGCTTTTTCAATGTACATACTTCGGCCTCCCCTTGGGTTATTGACTCTAGGGCATCTACCCATCTCACAGGTGATGAATCTTTATTTTCTAATTTTCAAAAGTTTAGCTCCTCATCTTTTGTTACTTTAGCTAAAAGTAGAACATGTTCCATTATTGGCCAAGGAACAATTAAACTAACCCCATCCATTTCATTACCTTCTATGCAATTGGTTCCACAATTTTCGTTTAATTTTTTTTTTTTTTTTTTATAAGTAAAATGTATAAAAAGGTGTTCAAAAGGGGAATGCGTCCCATCTATAAACAAAAAGAGAACCTATGAACTTAAAGAGCCCAAGAAGTCCACAATATCCTCAAAAGAGGAAAAATCTCTCCCCCAACCCCAACAATAGAGAGTACAAATAATAGAAAATTTCAGCACTCTAATAGCGGACTCCTTCCCATCAAAGGATCTTCTATTCCGCTCTTTCTAAAGGCTCCACCAAACGCAAAAAGGGGTCACCCTCCAGAAGTCTCTAGCCTGAATCCCCACCCATTGGCCCCTCCAGATATCAAGCAACTCTCGAGAAGTCCGAGGCATGACCCAATGGATGCCAAATAAACCAAACATAAGACTCCAACAGTCATAGGCAACAGGACAATGCAGCAGAAGGTGTTCCACGGACTCCCCATAACACTTGCAAAGGTAACACCGGTTAACAATGATATGTCTTCTCTTCCTCAAATTATCCAAAGTCAGAATCTTACTCCAAGCTGCAGTCCACACAAAAAAGGCCACCCTAAGAGGCGCCTTAGAAAGTCACACCGTCTTTTACGGGAAGAGCAAACCATGAAAACCAAAGAGGCGCACAAAGAAGGACCGGACCTGGAACGTCCCTTGAGAAGAAGGCACCCAAACCAAAGAATTTTCATTTAATTTATTATCTGTTAGTACACTGACTCAAGCACTCAATTGTTTTGTCACATTTTATCTTTCATTTTGCGTTTTTCAGGACCTCAACACGAAGAAGATGATTAGTGGGGGCATTAAAAGAAATGGCCTATTCTATTTGGATTGCAAACCTTCCACTAGTGGTGTTGCTCTACATTCCCAGGTTTCTGTATACCAGTGGCATTATCGGTTAGGTCATCTCTTGTTGCGGCACTTGAAGTCTGCCTTACCTTTTCTTGAGTCGATCTCTACTTTAAATTGTGTGTCTTGTCAGCTAGGTAAGCACCATAGAGTGCCTTTCCCTCATCGTATTGATAACCATCGGTCTTCTTTATTTGAATTGGTGCATATGGACATTTGCGGTCCTGCTCGTCACACTAGTCATTCAGGTTTTTCTTATTTTGTTACCTTTGCTGATGACTACTTAAGGATCACTTGGTTGTTTTTAATGAAAGACCGTTCAGAACTTTTTTCCATATTTCAATTATTTTTAAAAGAAATTGAGGTCCAATTTGGTTGTTATACAAACTTTACAATTTGATAATGTTATGGAATATGTCAAAGGTGCTATTTCTACTTTTTATGACTCTCGTGGTATTTTGCACCAAACTTCTTATTCTTGTACTCCCTAACAAAATGGCGTCGCCGAACGAAAAAATAGGCATTTAATTAAAATAGCTCAGATATTAATGATCCATATGCATCTTCCAAAGGCATTTTGGAGCGATGTTGTTTTAACTGCTTGTTATTTAACTAATCGTATGCCATCTTCCATTCTTAATTGGAAATGCCCTTATTCCTTTGTTTTTCCTACTCGGCCGTTATTTGCATTGACTCCTCGTGTTTTTGGGTGTGTGTGCTTTGCTCACAAGCCTTACATATTACGCCCTGACACTGATAAATTGTCACCTTGTGCCATTAAGTGTGTCTTTATTGGGTACTCTCGCACTCAAAAGGGTTATAAATGTTGGGATCCTAGCACTCATAGTGCTTTTGTGTGCATGGACGTCACCTTTTTTGAGGACACTCCTTACTTCTCTTCACGTGGTTCGTCTTTAGATACCGATTTGTTGCTTCTATTGCCTGTTGTGTCACATTCATTTGCCTGTGACACACCACAACCACTTCAAGTGCCATTGCCACTTCAAGTGTATAGTAGATGACCACGAGTAGCACCTCCCCAATTGTCTACTTTTATTAAGGATCCTCCTGCAGTTGATGATCTTCCTATTCCGCTGCGCAAAGGTGTTCGTTCTTGTGTCACTGCACATCCCATTTCTAACTTTGTCTCTTATAACAATGTATCTCCCTTATTGTCTTATTTTTCATCCACATTATCTGCAACTGTTATTCCGAAGACTGTGCAGGATGCTCTGTCTAATGCAGATTGGTGCAAAGCCATGAAAGATGAAATGGATGCTCTTCATCATAATAGGACATGGGACCTTGTTCCCTTACCTCCCGGTTCCAAACCGGTTGGTTATAAGTGGGTATACACTATCAAATATCTTCATGATGGGTCAATTAAACGTTTGAAGGCTCGCCTTGTTGCCAAAGGATACACCCAAACCTATGGTATTGATTATGATGAGACGTTTTCCCCTATTGCGAAGATTTTGTCTATCCGTGTTCTTATTTCTATTACCGGCAATTGTAATTGGCCGCTGTTTCAGTTAGATGTGAAAATGCCATCCTATATGGTGACTCACTTGAAGAAGTGTATATGGAGCAACCACCTGGTTTGTTGCTCAGGGGGAGTCTCGTCATGTTGTATGTCGCCTTAAAAAGGCCCTGTACGGATTGAAACAATCTCCAAGGGCTTGGTTTGGAAAATTCTCAGAAATAGCACTTTCCTTTGGTCTGAACAAATGCCAGACAAATCATTCGGTATTTCACCAGCACACTAAGATTGGTTTTATACTTCTTGTGGTATATGTAGATGATATTGTTATAAAAGGTGATGATTCTGACGGCATCGCTAAATTGAAACTATTATTGTAAAATTGGTTCCACACTAAAGACTTGGGTAAACTCAAATATTTATTGGGTATTGAAGTTGCTAGATCCAAGAAAGGTGTAAGTTTATCTCAAAGGAAGTATGTGTTGGACTTATTAGAAAAAACAGGTATGTTAGGTGGTCGTCTTGTTGATACTCTTATGGATCCAAATATAAAATTCTTATGTGATGAGGGTGATGACCATGTCAGATATCAACGTCTAGTTGGAAAATAAATTTATCTCACTATTACTCGGCTTGATATTATATATGCAGTTAGTGTCGTAAGTCAATTCATGAGAGCTCCTAGAGTACCACATTGGAATGTTGTTCTTCGAATTATTCGATTTCTCAAGCAAGCTCCAGGTTTTGGGTTGTTATATAAATTAAACAGTCATCTTAAGGTGGAAGGTTTTACAGATGTTGATTGGGCTGATTCTCCTTTAGATAGAAGGTCTACTACGGGCTATTGTACATTTGTAGGAGGGAATCTGGTTACATGGAGAAGTAAGAAACAAACGGTAGTAGCATGGTCGAATGCTGAAGCTGAGTATAGGGCAATGGCTCATACCACTGGTGAGTTGACATGGATACAACATTTTCTTGAGGAACTTGGGTTAATAGTCAAGACTCCTATTTCATTATTCTGTGATAACCAAGCAGCTGTTCACATTGCATCCAATCCGATATTTCATGAAAGAACCAAGCATATTGAAGTTGATTGTCACTTCATTCGAGAGAAAATATTGAGTAGGAACATTTATACTCTATTGTAAAGTCTGAAGATCAATTAACTGATATGTTTACTGAGGCTCTTGGTTATAATCGGTTAAAGACGATTTGTTCCAAGCTGGGATAATATGATATATATTCTCCAGCTTGAGGGGGAGTGCTAGAACATTTATATGTAGATATATATTTATGTTGGGGTTAGATTGTAATTATATATAGGGTTTGTGGCCATTCTACAAATAGGCCTTTCTTGTGTTTGTATATATACCCTTTTATGTTTAGGGTTGAAAGATAAGATAAACAGAGGGCTGCGTCTCTCGTTCTGCTCTCTCTCTCTCTTTCTCTCTCACATTGCACTGTAACTA